GATGTTCCATTTCAGTATACAGTGCTATAATCATTACAATACCGTGAGCAAACACCATTTATTTCATTTGGAAAGGTATCATGCAACTTTAATTGATACAGTTAGTTGATTTGTCTCACTCCTGTGAGAATGTACTGTTCTGGCATGATTCTTCTGGAGTGGCACCCAAAAAAATATAGAGAATGGCCAACTATGCACTGTGAATGTAAGTGGTCCTTCTCAGTTTCTCACAGATTACAGTGGAGAAGAAACAGCATAAACTTGAGGACCTAAGTATTAGTATCTATCTCACATCTACTGGAGTTGAAAACTTGCCTTCTTTGGAACTATTTGTTTAAGGGATACTGGCTCAGTTCTTATGGAGAGAAGAATAGTATATCATAATGTGTACATCCCCATCTTTCTTTTCAATGATTTATTGACTTTTCAGATTACATTTATTCAGGAATTAATAGTTAATATAGGATGCTTATTGATTTGGGAAATATAATCTGAAACAGTGAAGTACATTGCATTCTTAGGATTATGGGGTTCCTAGAAGCACTATCTAATAAATTTTTAGCATAAAGTCTTCCTCCTGCTGGCATAGGCAAACTACAGGCCATCTTGTGGAGTAGTATTTGAGAGCATCTAAGGTGGACAATTCAGAAGTGAAAATATCTGTAGTGGTTTTAAGAATAAAAATGTAAGCACATAATTCTGCATTATGTCTAAAACTGTGAGTAGCTTTGCTTTTTCATGAATAAATAAATAGTTTATTTAAAGGTCACTAATTAGGGAAATTAAGTGAAGAGAACAGAATAAGTGGCAGGTGTGCTTTTTAAAAAAATATGAAAAATAATAACAGAAAGTTAATATAAAAATCCTTATTTTGGAACAATACAGCCAGTCTAACAGTAGTAAGAATTTGTTTTTGTTTTAATTTACATGGGGGTATGACTGCTGGAGTTAGGTACCTCAGGGCTGTAATCCTATATAATTTCACTTGGGAGTAAGCTGCACTGAACTCAGTGTAGTGTACATCTGGGTAGATCAGTGAATAGGCAAAGACTATGAATTCCTCTCCTTTGATGATTTTCAGTGGACATATCAACTACCCCAAAACACACACTCATGCCACTTTCAAATAAAATATATGCCCCATTTCCTCTATGGCCCAGCAACATTCACTTGTCTGCTGTACAGACAACCAAGCCAATAAAATTTATTTCGGAAAGATTCCTAACATACAACCAGCTTGTCATCCAGACACTCAGAGAAGAATGGCATGGGGAGTTAGGATGCCATGTACAACCACACCGGTGGAAAATAGCCACATCCTCTATACTTTTCATATCCCTTGGCCTGAAACTGCACCGTATACAACAAAAGCTGCTCTTTGAGACATATTGGACTCATTAGTGCGCATGATGTAGAAATGCATTTTGGTGGTGTCCTTCTGGCCAGAAGTTGTTAGATATACCAACTTTGCCCTAAGTGTAACATTCTTGCTTAACAATGTATTGCTGAATTATATTCATACATCCTGCAAACTATCCTCTGGCCACGACAAGGAAACTATATGAGCCCTCCTGGTGGCTAGGAGACCCATAATATGGGGATGGAAAGACAAACCATCTCCCTCTACCATCTCCCTCATTACACTGGCATTCTTTGAGAGACTATTCTACCAACAATTTCATTTGAACACTAGTACTAACATTTGGTTAACCCACCTCAACCTATATTAGTGATGTGAAACAGGAACAGACATCCCCATCTGGGCAATCTCCCTTTAGAAGTCCAAGTTTCCCACCCTCTTTGCCTCTTCTATCTTGTTCCTGGCATTCCTGAGGGCTGTCAACCAGCACTGCTATTCCCTTCCACAGCTGGAGACAAACACATTCCTTATTGCCATCCAAAAAACATTCCCACATGTGCTTCTACAGAAAACAACAGCGCTACTCCAACGAGAGGGCAGTTGCTTTGTAGAGCAGCAGAGGGGGAAAAATGCAGCCAGCTGAGGCCATGTGATGGGGAGGGGGGCAATAAGGGAGAGGCAGGCAACACAGGCAGGAGTGGTGCACCCTGGGATTAATTCTGAGCCATGGGGCTGATGGGATATGTGCTGCCAGATGGAGAAGCATGGAAACCATGCATGATCAGAAACTATGCAAATGTGTGAAGCTAAGACAAAAGGTGAGATACCATGCTGCTAGGTAAATGTGCCGTATTGCTTAGCATTACATGTGAATACAGCCCATGTGTAGGTCCCCCCTTGTTTTTCAGTGTATTTATCTTCTATCCTAACAAGTCAAAGTATTTTTTAAATGTTTTCAGAGAATCTCTTTCTCTCTCTCTTAATTGCTGAAGTGGTTATCTACTCGGCAATTCTTTCAAAGTAATGAACAGTTATCCATTTTGTAGCAATGGTTTTTTCCTATCTTAACTGCTGATGGAAGATATTACTATGAGGGACAAGGACAATATCACAGGCAGGCTAGAAAGTATTTAAATGTGCTTTGACAAATTGGAAGTTTGTCATCAGTTTAAAAAAATGGTTGGTTAAATTTACTTGGCAAAAGGCTGCATTTGAGATTAGGAGTATGTGGAATATTAATAGAGAAAGGAAAAATGTTGCAGTCTCTCAGTGATTTTATGCTTTGTGGATACAGTCAAATTAAAAGGAGCGTGAGTATAATGGCGTAGGTTCTTAAGAAGTAACAACATGTATCATCAGTTTTCTTTTCAGTTAAGTAAACACCATGCCCAGTTATCTTTCATCTTGTATAGAAAGTAGAACTACTGGATTTTTGAACTGTTTGGTTCTTTTATCTGCTAATTAATTTACTGTGGTCCAAACTGAAATGTACTTAACAGCACTAAGCTGCAAAACTATATAATTTTTTTAAAGATTTGCACTCAAGTATTTACGCTAAATACTTGAAGCTTTTGTATAGCTAGCAATTCAAATGCTTTGAATTTTATTGCAATGTGTTTTCAGTTTTACAGTATAGCAACATGCCATAACTGTTTCAGAGAGACGTCTCTAATAAGTGTATCATCTGGACGGGGGCATGTTAAAAACAAACTAAATGCCCCTTTTAACCTTCACAGTGCTATATGGCACATGTGTATTATAATGTATGTATAAGTCTGCTATTTTGGATTTTAAGGCCAGAACTAAAATCCTGGACATGGCTGTTCTTAACTGCCTTGCATGCAGGCACAGAATGCCACTCCTCCCTCCTGCACTGGTAGCTTACAACAGTTTACAATGAAAAGCTTCCAGACTCATTGCTGAATAAACAAGCATTCGACTGAAGTGTATATACTGCCCAGTAGATAAGAGCATTGACTTGGAATGGCTGAAAATCCCAGGATTAAATTTAAATTCCAAAATGAACATATTGAGTATGCTCTGTGAACTTCAGTTTTAGCCATTTGAGAAAAAGTAATCTTACAGTTGTTAATACATCTGGTTTGTTGATATGGAGATATTGTTTTTACGATTACACTAAAATGTAGTTGAAAGGTGAGGCACTACATAAAGATGTGCATATTAGAATGACAAATATAATGGCCATGGTCCATCTCTTATTTGCAGGCCAATGTTGCAAACTTACAGCTTATAGTTATGCTAGAAAAGTCCAGGGAGATAGGGAACATGGAATTTCAAGGATATTCCTCTTTGGATATCAAATATGCCTATTAACTCTCAGAGTGTAGAGAAATTTATTGAAACGACTGGCCAACTTGGATTATGCTATCACAGGATTCAGAAAGCTAAACTTTTTGCACTTTGGCTGTGGCATGATACAGAAATGAAGTAAATAATAGTAAACAGATTGCACTGTGTAATCCTTTGTATTATTGTCCAGCTGATAAAGGAAGAGTAGTGAAAATAGTAGTTGAGCTCCCTTCACCAGTGCAGGTTAACCTGGCTGAATGTTGCAAACAGACCAATCATGAACAACCTGTGTTCCTGGGCCAGTCTGTGGGAAAATGGATATGATTTTCCATTGCCTGTTACAGCAGTGCCAGCCTGGCCTGGCCTCACTTCACTTTGCTTTTGTGCAGCCTCTGGAGTTTGGATGTAGGTCCTGGCAGCTCATGCAGTTAGGTTGATAATATTTTCTGTATATGGACATTCTGACATGCTATCTTTGTATGAACAGGGACAGCTGGATGCTTTTCACCATCATTGGGAAGTCAAATAATTAATGGATAGAACTGGCAAAGTCACCCATATAGAATAATCATACACATTTTAGTAAAGTTTACAAAGTCAGAGCTGGAAAATACCTTAATTAGGACCAAATAAAATATCACAAAATAGTAAACTTTCAAGATTACTATTTACTTCTTAATGATTCAAAGATATGTCTGTATCATTGCCCCTTGAGGGCCATGGGATTTTTCACAGTCCCAGCTCCAAAGTCACAAAAGCTCCAGTGTCAGAGCTGGGACTCTGCACTCAGAATGCCCTCTGTGCATCTTACTGTTTCTCTGATGCTGCAAAAGTGACCTTAGAGCAAGTGGTTCAGGTTGAATTCTTGGGACAGGGAGAAGAGAAGACCAATGCTGCCAATGTACAAAGTATTTTGGTAGTGCCTCAGCCTTCTTCCATCCTGCTCTGAAATACAGCACTTAGACAGCTGAAATTGACTATCTAGCTGCTTTGCAGGGAGGGAATAAAGCAGTAGCGACATTCACCTCTACACTCCTCCTCCTCTGCATAGGATGCCCATGATCCTCTTAATTTAAAAAGTTAACAGGCAACTCTATTGGACAACACCCTAAGCAGTTTATAGAGTATCCCATAAAAACATGATTAAAAGACAGTTCACAGTTTGTAGCAACAGCAATGCAAATTACTGGCTAGTCATAACTAAGCTATTTCCCTACTGTGAATTTGGATTTTTTTCTAATGGACAGCTACAGATTTTTTAAAACATATTTTAATGGTACTCCGTAAAATTATTTTTAAAAGGATTTTTTATTTGATTTTTGTGTTTCAGGTGTACGCTTAGTGTCACGCTGGAACAAGCTATAATTCTTGCTCGGAGTCATGGCCTTCCTCCCCGCTATATCCTACAAGCTACAGATGTGATGCGCAAACAAGTAAGACATCTGTTCTTATTATGATGTATTACATTTTTCCTTCTACCAATTATCCATCAACCTAACCATCACAAATGAATCAGTGGTTTTGCAAAAGAGTCCTGCCATTTTGAGAATATAAGGAATTGTGCTACGAACGGATTAAGATGGGCTGGGCCTCAGGACACTAAATAAGTCATTCAAGGCACTGCTGCATTCTGAATGGTAAGAAATGGTTTATTATGAGAGGATTCAGATGATAGGTGAGTTTGCTGGGAGTTAAAACAGAATTGGAATACAACTAGGGCTGTCCAACGCTGAGAAACGTATATGGTTTGAGCTTGACTCTGGTGACTGGAAATGGACCAGACCAGACGAGGGACAATGGTCCAGAAATGTGTAAGGGAGGCAGTCTAATTTGTGTAAAGAACTTCATGGCAGTTTTACTATTTTATGCATGTTCCATTCCATTATGGAATGGTGTGTCCAGTATATTCCCTTGGTCAGTTTTTATTGAGTACTAGCTGGCGGAGTCATCTGAGGAAGAAGAAGGGGAAGATAACCAGCATGGTGGGCCCCAGCCACATCTAAGCAGTGAAGTCAATGCTGCAGCAGATTGTTTTCTACTGGAAGAGCAGCCTGGGCCCTCCATAGCCTTTCTTGGAGACAGAGCTGGAGGCAGTTCATTCCATAGAAAGGCAGAAGCTGAAGCAAGAGCATCTGAAGCCCAAACAGAAGGCAGTGTGGGGCCTCCCTTAAAAGCAACATGCTGACCTAATTAACCAGCTCTGCTGATTTACAATCAGCTGTAATTTAGTCCAGCTTGAGCCTGCTCTCTGTTGCAGACAATGCCATTTCAATTCAGTGCTTTGATTTGGTCTTCTGGACTGAAAGGATTCCTTGACATTTGGCTGCGCACCTGAACCGCTCTTTCAGATCCCCCATTACCTGACCTGAATAGTTGGCAAAATAGGTCCTACAGACTAAGCTCTGAACTGGACTGATTTTCTCCACTTGGTTACCTCCTGAAAATGCTTTAGCTTGGACCAGGCACTTAATGATAGAGGATCAGGATAGTATCATTCTCATACTACTTTGTCATTAGGACTTTGTTAAATTCATCTGGTATTTATTGGATGTATTGGATGTTTTAAAGAACTCATAATGGCTTACATCAATCTCTTTCTCTTGCTCTCAATCTTATGCCCACATCAGAAATCCTGTGAGGTAGGTTGGGCTGAAAGGCTGTGACTGGCCCATAGTGACTCAGGTCACCTGACTCCCAGACCCATGCTTTTAACCACTATACCACATTGGCTCTCCATATACATATGGATATTTGCAGAAATTGTGGTGCCTGATATTTGTGCAAATATTGAGCATGATAATTTGCACAAATGCTGGCTGCTGCAATGTGTGCAAATTTTCTGAATTTTTTAAAAATAAATTTGCACAAATCTTGGCTCATTTCAAAAGTGGAACTCCATGTGTTGGTTGGTGCCACTGTGGGGAATATGGAACAGAACCTGGCATCTGGAAGGTTAAGTCAGTAAAGGACATTGAATTTTCATCCCCCAAACAGATTCCTTACACATCCTTAAATACAATGGAACTAAGTGAGAACCACAAGAGGATTAGAATAGGAATACTAATGGAGATAAGTAGTGACTGCTATAAAGAAACTATTATGGTAAACTGCATGAATTACAGCATGAATATGAGAGAATTATTACAAAGCTTGAACAAAATATTATTGTACTCTTTTGACATATAACAACTTGCTCCTACATAAGATACATTAGCAATTTTGCTGCATTCTGTACTAGGAAACAGAATAGCTTTAACGCCTGCTCTGATAGTAGCACTGAAGATAGGCTGGCATTGATTACTCTAAGAACCATTCCAGGTTTTCTACAGAAAAAAAATGAAAATAAAATCTTACCCTGTGTGAATTGAAAGAGCTTCTGTGGAGTCTTTATGTGACTGGAACATTCCTTATGTGTCAGCAAACTCCTTCTGTTCATGGAATGAATAGTTAGGATCCAACCCAGTAATGTGGTATTATTATGGAAGCATTCTGAATTCAAGTCAATAAAGATAAGACAACATTATCTATAAATCAACAAAATGGAATAATTGTTCCATAATCTCATCAACATGCCAGAAAGTTCTAAATTATGTACAGTGATTTTTAAAGATAAGTATATTTTATAACAAAACCCATTTGGTAAGTCCTGCTGTATTTTCATAGAAGAATTTTAACTATCAGCATGAGTAATGGTCCCACCCTAAGTCAGCATTTAAGGCAGGGGTCTCAAACTTGCGGCCCATGGGCCAATTGCCGGGATGGGCGGGGCATGGGGGAGGAGCCCTGCGCCCTTCAAAGTGCCGGCGGCACCCGGGCCGGCCGCGGGATGAGCGGCCCGCCTCCACCACGGTGGTGGAATACTTGATGCGGCCCAGCCTCACCCAGACTCTACCTCCAGCGGCCCCCAGGTAAGTTGAGTTTGAGACCCCTGATTTAAGGGAAGAAAAAAAGTCTTTATGTTAACTTAGCAATAAGTAATTTAACACATGCTGTCCCTGTGATCCAGATGTCCTGATGTTCTCCATTAATTTTGATGAAGAGGGAAGAAGAGCATATGCATCAATTTATCTGTGTAGCGATGAAGTGAATGGAAAGGCAAGCACTTGTATGTCACCATTCTGTGTGCATATCAGTATTGCCATGCCTGAGACACTGGATTAGAGTACACTTTTTAAAAAATGAGATGGATAGACCAACTCTTTCGCTCTTATACAAGAGTTGGTCTGGCCATCTCATTTTTTTTTTATCATTGAAGTTGTTTATCAATGTAGTGATTTCTTTGTACATTGTAAGGATTTGGAAGTACCGTGTTTCCCCAAAAATAGGACCTACCCTGAAAATAAGACCTAGTCTTATTTTGGGGTAGGTTCTATAATATAAGCCCTACCCCGAAAGTAAGACCTATTATCAAAAATTATTGGTAATAGGTCTTACTTTTTTTGCTTACTTGCAGAGTGCCAGAGGGGTGCAGAGGGTGCAGCGGTAGGATGCAGAGCGGCTTAAGTCAATACTTCCTCTATAGTCCTGACTCCTGTGAAGGGTGGAGTGATATCAAATGCACTCCACCTGTCCCAGGAGCCAGCACTATAGAGGAAGCATCGGCTCATGCCGCTCTGCTTCCTCCGCTGCCTGTGATAGTACCAGTAGCAGGCGCTGGAGAGGATCAGTGCATACAGCTTTTGGAAGCAATTGGAGTGCAGGGCAGAAGCATGCACAGCAGAAAGGTGCAAGCAGAAGGGTGTACATTAAATGTACATTTTGTACATTAAAAAATAAGGCCTACCCAAAAATAAGACCTAATGTGTTTTTTTGAGCAAAAAAAAAAAAAAAAAAGACAGTGTCTTATTTTTGGAGAAACACGGTATGTGGTGGGATCTGTTGAATGAAGAATGGTATAAAATGTTTTAAACAAGCAATTAAAACTCATATATATCCATGATATAAATATTGCATTCATAAATTTCTCTAATATTGTAGTTTTTCAATTTAATATTTTTATAATAATAATAATAATAATAATGGTTGAAGAGTAGAACTGAATAGTTTTCCCAGAAGTTGCTGCTCTTTTCTCAGTGTATTTCATTTCCTCATTATTTGTTGTCTTTCTGTTTAGTTTTTCTTCATTTATATTACACACACACACACACACACGTACACATATAATTGTACTATAATAATAGCAGTTTAAAAACAGTACTATTTTACTTGCCATTAGCAAAAGCTATTACATGTAAATGCTGATTCTGAATTAACATTGCAGCTTGGACCCTCTTCTGTCTTTCCATTAACATAACTAACTTTATGTGAATCTGTTTTTGTCTATGCTAATTTCATTTTCATATCTGAATTGTGCTTCCTGCAAAACAGCAATCAGATCTGTTATACACAAATTCCCCCAAGGTTCTGTGGGGATTCTCAGAAAATGCAGCTTTAATTTGACTTAAATATAAGATAGCAATGATGTAATGTAATCTCGCTCCAGTAATATTGGTTTTGGTAATTTGGTCTCATGTGTATTACTGTACACCAAAGTGAAGATGCAGATTGTCATAATGCATTCCCCTGTGTGTTCTCAGTTGCCATCTACCTTGCAGTTTTTCAGAAAAGTTGTGCATATTTTTGAATTTGTTCTATTTTCTTGTCACCCAAGCCACCTCCCTTACAGGTTCAAGAAATTGTGATTTATTAAATGTATGCATTACTTCCTACCAAAAAAATTTGGGAGCAGAAAAATATACCAAGGAGAGTGTTTATATACCATTGTATTTCCTGCCAGAATGTTTTTAACCCTTTCTAAATCTACTGGAAAAATAGACCATTTATCTTTCACAGCTGTCAAAGATAACTACTTCAGTTAATGGGATGGCTTGAACTTTTGCTTCTTCTTAAGGTGGTAGAATCTTAGGAACAAGTTCAAAAGTAGGGGTGCCATTGGGACATAAGACTGTCCCTGCACCCAGAGGATCTTGCTATGAAAAGATAAAAATGGCAGCAACTCACATTGCAACAAGAAGCCCTAATGTAGGCAAATTGCCAATTTCCCTATAGTAGCTTCTCATTACATGCAAATAAGCTCATAGAAAGCAAATAAACATAGGACTACTATGCCAATCAGTGGCTTATATAAGCCACAATCAGTTCTGACCTGTGCATACTTCAATATGATATGTGAATCCAGGCAGGATGGCTTGTTGCCATGGCTCATGAGACTCCAGAACTTTTCTGCAGCCTATGGCTATGTCTATGTATGAATCATACAGTATGCTACAAAAACCATGGAGCAAAGCCCATATAGGTGTTTCAAATAAAAGTAGGTTTGGGAGAGGTTATTTTTGCTTCCTTTCAGATGGAGATGGACTACCATAGGTTTATGTGATTGTCTCTTCCCATGAATATGATAAGAATCATATTTTGGAGAGTAGAGATGAGCATGCTCAATTTGTCCCTCTATAATGCTATTGTCATCACAAGTTGGAGGATAATTCTCTATAGCAGATAGCCTGCTTTGCTTAACATCAAGATTTTCAATTGCAAATGGTTTCTACAGGAGTAGAGCAATCCTCCTGCTGAGATAGCCCTCCTGTAAATCACGCAGAATGATGGTGCTAGCATACTTGTTCCTGCTCATCTCATTGCATGGGGGATTATGCATGCCTGAATAAGTCTATAGATAACCCTTTCCTTCTGATCTCATCCAGAAATACTGTCCTTAAATCAAACTTTTGTAGAACAAAACCATTCTTTATGCATTTGGTTTCTCACCAAGGCTAGAAACAGAAATGCCCAGCTGTCACTGGGATCACTTCTTTATGCATTTCCATGCCTTAAAAAGTTTGATTAAAAAAATTCTGCCTTTAGAATTTTAATGGAAAAAATCTTTGATTTTTAAAAATAATATTATATTTCCTGAAATTGTCAAACCTCTTTGCGGTTTATTTCTTTTTCATTTTTTATTTGAAATCATGTATTTCTCACAGTGCAAATAAAAACGATTGCTTAGGAATTCTATCCTTGACAACTTTGTGTAATCCGGTAACTGTTCTGGTGCAGACTGAAAAAAAGATTATATATGAAGTACAATCATTTTTCTGTTTTGCAGGGAGCAAGAGTGCAGAACACTGCCAAGAATTTAGGAGTTAGAGATCGCACACCACCTTCTGCTCCAAGGTAACTAAACATTACAGTCAAGTGCCTGTAATCAAGACCACCATTTCTCAAGTTCCTGATAAACACTTTATTCAGAGGCTGCAGTGTTTAGTAATATTTAGCGACAGCTACGAGTATTTTGTTTTGTTCTGGGGGTCTAACTAAAAAACAAACAATCAACCCCTTAAAATGTGGAATTTGCCCCTTAGAAGATGCTTATTATTCCAATGAATAATGTTTTGTTTGCTTGTTTAAAATAATGCTAGAGAAAGCTAATTGATGTTTTTGGTGTTCCCTATCACTCTTGAAACATTGTTCCTTTGTGGAGCTCTGTATATCAAATAGCTTATAATTCACAAAGTGTAGGATAAGTTTCAACTAGCTTGGGAGCTTCAGTTGTTCAGTTATGCCTCATTTCAATACAGGATGCTGCTTTATCTACAGTATTATAAATTGAGATGCCAATCAAGTTCCTCTAAACCCAGCTCAGAAAGAAATGTTAAGGGAATATAAACACCTACTTCAAATGATAGGTGAGCTCGAAGAGCTCTGAAATATTTCTTTTGGGTCAACATACTTGGTTTTCCCCCAGTCCATCTCTGATACCTTCCCACCAGCCCCCAAAACATATACCACTCATCCCTTTTACCAATGCCAATACCAACTGAAATTTCTAACAGGAAAGCTTAATGAAAATAAATGAACAAACCCCAGGAATGGCATGAAGGGGATTTGTTGTTGTTTTGCCCTATGGGGTTTATGTCAGTCTTGTTGTTCACAGTCTGTCTTGTTCTTTGTATAACAAATATAAATACTTTGTTAATGAAGAAGTGAAGCTTGATATGCATGTATAGGTTAAATTAGAATTATAAAACTTTAAAAAATATAATGCTAAAAAGATGATACTTCTGAGATACCATTTTCATGTTCACAAAAAGATATGGAATAGTATCCCCATTTAACAAATAATTAAATATGAAGGGATTTTTCCAGGTGACAAGCAACACAGAAGGTATAATTAGTGAATTTTTGTGACAATTATCTTTTAGTTAATTATATTTAAGTAACAGTTTCTTGTTTGTATCTTATATACAGACTGCTATCCTTCATTCTGTTTCTTGCTTTTGGTTAGATGCAGGTTTACAGTGTTCTGGAGGTAAATGTAGAATTTGCTTCTTGATATAATAATAATACAATCCACCCAACTTCTCTGAAATAAATTATATTCAAATTGAACTTTACTATAGAAGGCAAGAAAGAATCTTATGGCTTACACATCCCCCCCTGCCTATAACAACTGTTAAGATTTTTGGTCATGCACTGAACTGGGTCGGTGGGTTAGGAGGAGTTTTGGCCATCTAATCACAACACCACAGCTTTTTGAGCTGTGGTGATTAAGTTCTAAAGGTTGATTTTTGCTGAATTCATTGTTGGATAACAGAATGTACATGGCCAGCTTGTGGAAGGATGCCATGTAGCCAATTTGGGCAACATCCTGGTGAATACGAATGATTCAGTCTCTAAAGTTCCTGGCACATGAACAGGTAGTTCTTTTTTCTTTCACAAATGTATTAGGTGATACAAGCCCTCCTATTGAAGGTAGTTGGAAGAAACGTAATTGTGTTGTATCTTAATAGCTACATGGTTAAGACATATATTAATGTCCCAATGTATATGTCCATTGAGAGCTTATTTTGTTTCTCCTTCATTCCTTATTGAATGGAAAAAGTTTTGTGTATGACATGCTTTGGAAGTTCTCTGATGAATCTTGTAGGTCTGCCTACTTAGATTAGAACTTGTTTTAATTAGCAAAGGATTAATTTTATTCCTTTTTTTTAAACGTGGGCCATCTAAACCCTAACATAACTGTCTTTCTAGTTTGTTGTGAAGGACTGGATCCTAGGTTTTCCCTCCTTGCACAGAAGTTTCAGTGTAGGAATGAGAATTGTCCTCACAGAAGAACCCCTTCTGTGAGTACATGTCTCATTCTGTTCACACAACACAAAGTTAGGATCTAAGCCACAGTCTCTATGTGTTGTTAAACTGTTTAACTGACAAGTATTATACTGATCTGCTTAGATTTAAGGAATTACAGCTGTGGAAATCCATGGTTAGGGTCCTACAGCCAGCATTTCACAACTACAATAGTTAATGTTTTCTATAAAGATCAGCTTTCTTTTAAAGCTATACAAACAAAGAGTGATCATAGTGATTTAACCAATTTTGGTTTGGGTTCAGGGTGCCCCTATTTTAAAGGAAACATGCCCACCTAAGCCCTTTGGAGATGCAATCCAAACAGAACTTATAATGGACTGTCGTAACTACCATATACTCAAAGAAACATGTAAATGGGTCTTTAATGTGTCTCCCATAACCTTTAAAGAATAAGGCTCTAGGTTCTTCAGAACTTACAAATGCTGCTAGAATAATGTAGTCTAACATACAGCAAAGAGTATCATAGAAACAAGGGTATCACTTCCAAATCTTTTTGTTCTGAGCTCTGGCAAATCTCAGAAAGGACGTAGATACATAATGTTCATCACCAAGATACTACTTAAAGCACAAATAAATCAATAGACCATTTCCTAATGACAGTGGGTTCTTGGAATGGTAAATGGTATTATAACATTTTTCTGTTGTTGCCAAGCTATTTGTATACATAACATTTCAGTACATGAAGGATATGCATACTAGGACATATATTTCATTTTGATTCCCTTACTTAATAGATATATACTCAATGGAAAATGATCATATGATGCTTAAACATTTCAGACTCTTTCATAAAATGTGGCTATTCTAATAATGGGTTTTTGTTTTTGACAGGTTGTACAAGTTGTGCCAGCCACCGCCTCCTGTTGGAGAAGAGTAAAGTTTCCTATTTGAGGAATAATTAAAAGACCAGTTTCCATGACAGTGAAGTGAAGCAGGAACACAACAGAAAGTGATAAAATGTGCCTTGAGTACTGATCAGCAGTAGCACTTAGCTTCAGATAAAACAATCATTCTTCTTAAGTATAACTGCTCCAATGAAGAACAACTCATCCTGGAAGTAGGGGAAAGGTTGTTTGGATGTAACGTGCATGCTCTGTGCATTTATACTGAGGGCATTTAGAAAGAAATAATGCTATATTTTAACTGGTTGCTTCAGTGCCAATTGCCCAGTGTTCACTGGCACCAACATGAAAACAAACAAGCAAAACAGATTAGAAAAATTACTATGATCCTTTCAAAAAGCCATGCATTGAGCTGGAGGGAGATAAAAGAATAAACAGTGTGGAGTTGTTGGGTTAGGCTTAGATCCTTGCACACATAATAACCTCTTTTCCTCCAGCAATTCTATCAGTTGGCTCTCTACTCAAAAATTAGCATTTCAGTATGTTATGCATTCAAAGAAGATTCAGTTGGCCAGTTCACACCTCACAATAAGCCATGTTGAAAACAAGCCACGTTAGTTAATTGCTTGCTAGTCACATCACTGTTTACAGATGATAAAGCACTGACCAGCTTTGTTTCCCTTCTGCCTGCCTGTTCCCAGCATTTATTCCTGAGAACTTTGCCTCTATACCCCTGAGGTGATTCTTTCCCCTCTATATTCTATATAAATACATTCCTGCATTTATATAGACATATAGACACATGCATGTATGTATGTATGTATGTATGTATGTATGTATATGCCATGTCTTTGGAATGCAGGGGAGTTCCCCCCTTTTTAAAAGAATGGGGTGACTGAGTATTTTCTTTCTTTAAAACACAAAAACACCTCCTTGGCTGCTTCTCAAATCCCATTCCCTTTTTTAGCACAGTAATTCCTGTATGCATGCTTCCCTTGGGGTGAATGCCACCATGGTGATTTGAGATGGGAGAATTCCTTCACCCACAGAATTTTTTTTTTAAAGATTGAAATGTTTAATCTTTTTTACCTCCCTTTTAAAGTCTTTTAAAGCTACTGTCAAATGAAGTGCTGAGCTGGTAGAAGGGCAGAGGACACCGTTTTTCTAACAAGCCAAGGATGAGTCACTCTGCCAGGTTCACACATCATAACAAGCCACTCTGAAAATATCTAACCTGACCCATCCAACCACATGTGGGGGTGGGGGAGACTCGCATGTAACAAGAAGTGACGATGGGTGAATTTCTGATGTTTTGTTGAGGCAGTAACTATCAGAATATTCAAGCCATGTTAGGGATGCGCTATAGCTTGTTATTTGTGTGAATCTGGTGATTCAGGCAATCTGTGTTCTAACCCTGCTCAGCCATGGAGCCAACTGGGTGACTTTGGGCCAGTCACAGAATCTCAGTCCAGTCTACCTCACAGGTTTGTTGTTGTGGGGGATAAGATTGGGAGCAGGAGGAGAAGACTGATGCAACCTGCTTTGAGATTGTTGTATGAAAAAGCAGGATATAAATATAATAAATAAATGCTGGATTGTTGGGATGGTTAATGTCAACAGGTGGCTTGGGAGCCCCTCTAATAACTCACTATCGGGTTTACAACAAGCTATGGTGAGCTCTTGCTGTATCTGGTACATTTACAATGGTGGCTGCCATCATGATGAAAAACCCCACAGGGAAATCCACCCATGGTGGCTTCTTATTACATGTCATCCAGGTCACGTTTTCATGCTTGCTTGTGCATGGTTAACAAACTACACCTGGTAATTTGTTCAGACATCACAACAAGCTAGCCTAAAACGGGCCAGTGCATTCCTAATACATGGGTCACAGTCATTTTGTGCTTGCCTTACATGATTTGGCAATAGTAACATCCAGCATAAGACACAATGACATGAGAGATTAAAAATGACAGGTGGATTCCAATGACTCAAATTTCTGTTCATTAGTCTTCTTGATAAATTGTTCAGGACACACTGTGAAAGGAATTTTCCTACAACAGTGAATTATCTGCGCAGAAGAGGTTTTTCATTATGCTCAGTGAGTTTGTAGAACCTCAATTGAGAACATGCATTCTTATGCATTTTAAAATTCAGAAATTCTGATTTACATAAGAATACAGGCTTTGACTAAGGAAGAGTCCTACTGTAGTTCAAAGGCCTGTAATCTTCCTTTATACTTCCTAGAAAATTATGTTGTATCAAGGTTTTGAAGGTAAACTAGTTTTCATTTTGCTGGCAAACATTGGATACAAATGCATGAGTAAGAAATTGGAAAATGATGTTCTATGCATATTCACACTAGGAAAGTGGCAAGATGTTTTCTATTCTGAACGGAATATATAACATAATAACCTTTGCCTATCATGGTTAATAGGGAATGTAGCTTCTAGTTCTGCACTAGCACAATAGCAATTTTAAGTCAGATTTAAATGCATAGCTGCTCTAAGATACCTGTGTTACAGGAGAAAGTATGAATTTTAGTGACCCTAAATGGCAATGGCCATTCACATTCAGAGAAGTATGTGTATTATGCATGTGCATAGAAGACTGATTCCATTGGTGGGTCTCCCTTACTAAGGGTGGTTTACTGTTCATGGCAAGCAACTAATTAAAATAAATAACATGCATAATTCACTTATGGTATAATCCTATGCCAGTTTAGCCAGAAAAAAGACTGAAACTCTCTGCTTTTTTCTGCCTCAATTTGCACAGAATCGTGCCTTTAGTCGACTGTAACTATCCTCTGTATATGGCCCTTCCAAAATCTTGAACTTTGTTTAAAATTAAACGTATCTATGGTATACATTTGCAGGATTCAGATTTTAAAATGTAAAAGTAATTTCAAATCATCTACTGAAAAGTTATATTAAATGTCATTTCTCAGACTTGGTAATAATTGACATTTCATGGTGGAGATGTTTGCTTAGAACTGAAATCCTGCTGTCATGATGAAATGCTGCTACAGTTGAAAAGCACAATTTAGTATACTCCAGTAGTGCCTGGAAAATATTTCTACTTAACTCATACTTCAGCTTTGTTGGCTGTGGTAAAATCCTTACTATAACATTGTACTGTATTTCTATAATTCATATGTATACGTGTGTGTATGCATATGTGTACACATGCATGCATACACACACCAGTTTTGAAAGATGATCACAGCACTATTTACTCTGTAGCCTCATGTATATAGTGTAAGAAATCCATTAAACTTATGCATCTCTTGAGTAATAAATAAAGTATTTTTTCTGTTCTAGCAGTATTAGATTTTGCAGAGGGAGAATATATTTTTGTAATTACTCAGTAAGAAATCTAGAACATCACTGCTTTTAAAGAAGTATAAATATGTATGTAAAGATATTTACAAAGTATATCAGTTTCTTAATCTTCCATACTTGTAGCCATATTCTTTTACTTTTGTTACAAGTAATACTGATAAATAAAAATGAATTCTTCTTTATATAGGGATATGAATCCAATTATTTTCTCTGTGCTATAGCCTTATGTCCATGTGATCATTCCATATTTCTTAGATACCTGCTTTCCTCCCAGACCTACATAAAAAGTATGTAATAGTACCAAATAGTAATATAGTTGCCATCTATCTATTTTAAGAAGTTTCATTATTGTTAATTTTATTGTTATACCATCAGTTTTTGGCTTCTGATAGCACTTGCTCAATTAGCATGGATTTGTTATTTCATAATACAGTGGCTACCCATTCATACAATCAGTGTGGTGATTGACAGAGGGTAAACTTTGTTCACTTATTCAATGCATATTTCTCAAAAATGTTCCTATTCTGGTCTTGGCCACCAGAATTCACCATGGCAGCAAGAATCACTAAAAGCACAAAGGGCCTACTTGGCCACCTCCCACCACTGCTCCCAGCCAGGCAGTTGGGCACCTTTCAAGACAAAGTATGGAGTTGCAATACCTGTTGTTTCTCTTTTCTAAGAATCCCTTCAGGATCACGGGGGTGGGGGTAGTGAGGAGGCAAGAGGCATTCTTGAAACTAAGGATAGTGTTGGTGGCTGATACTTCACTTGGTATTACACTGCCAGGTTCTTTTTCCTAATGATGCTTAAATCTCTCCCACCCACATCCATCCCTCCAAAAAGGGCGGGGAAGGAAAAATAAAGAGGAGGAGGGATTCTGGCAGAAGCCAAGCATGCTCACCATGGATGCACTGGTGCCCATCTGTGCAACTCAAACAACCATTTTATCTAGTGGTGGTGTTGGTGGCAATGCGGAGGTCCATGCAGGGGTATATTGCCATCATGGTGAGGTCATTGTCATTCTCTGTATGTGAATGGTATATAGTAATCTTGCTGGCATAGTCACCGATTGGTATGTGGTGGTGAACTTTCCAAGGATGTCTTTTTTATTCCATATTTGTATTTTATGGTGACATGTTTTCTCTTGACCCTCCAAGACTGGACATGTATTGGCACAGTTGTGTTGTATCTCACAAAGGTAATATGCATATAGGCTTGCTCTCTAACTTAACTATACTACTGCTGGGCTCTTGGCTTTAATTTTGTGAGTGGAATGACAAGCCAAGAAGAAGCTCAGATTATCCCTACCTTAAGAAAGACATTTAAGAATGGTCCTTGGACAGAACCTGTTTCCTTTTATTCATACGTAGAACATATTGGAGTTTAGGGTTTTATTAAAATGAAATAATGATGAAATGGTAATGTTTTCCAATCAGAATGTTCAGAGCCTTTGTTACATATGGAAATATTACATATAAAGTGCATTTGACTTCAAGTCTAAAACACACTGGTTATCCAGTGAATTATTTTATGCAAGAGGTTGTGTATATGCTATAGGGGTTTTACATTCTCTCCATTATACTCCTCATTATGCATTGCAAGCTGTTTGCTAAACCAACTAGCAGCTTGATACACTGCTGTGTAGAGGTGAAAACTGTATGCATAACTTCTTTTGATTATGCTAATGTCAATTTCTTTTGAAATCAATGGAGACTGGATAATTGGTAGGACAGTAACAGAACAAGTGAATGCACATACTATGGAACCATACACATGATGGGTGGAATCCAGATTTAATTATACCGAGAACAGATCCATTGAAATCAATGTGAATTCCTTGACCTTCACTGATTTCAATGGGTCTGCCCTTAAGTACAACTAAATATGAATCCAACTCATATTCACCTTTAAGCTCCAAAGTGGAAATTAATATTGGGCCCATGTGTAGGCAAAGAATAAAGATTTAAAAATGGTGAGAATGCAGCATATTATCCAAAGTTTGCAGAAGCCCGACATTTTTAAAGAAAACAACTCCCAGTTTCCCCAAAACAGTCCAAGGATGACTGAGCTTACTCAGTGAACAAATCATGCCAATTGGCTGTACTGGGGGAAGGGGGAATGGAATTGAAGAGGACTTGGTGGACTAGAACATTGAAAAAGTGCACTTCACAATACAACATTTTATTCCAGGTCTCATATGAGCTTAGCTACTTAAGCACTCATTATGATAATAGTACAACTGCCTGGATTTACAGTTCTGTATGGAATTATGTTGTTAGCTGAATTTTATCATCTGTTTTCATTTGTCATATTTCCTGACAGAATATTTTAATCACCCCTTAAAAGTACTTAAGCATACATTCTCAGAGACACAGTGCTCTTTAAAATGTATCTCTATAGCATTTTAAAATCTCTTTTAAAGCTAGTCTTGGCATGTATTTTCCCTTCCCTTTTATCCTCCTTTCTTCTGTATACAAAATGAACACTGGATTTCCACAGTGTACAGCAAATCCATGCCTAAAAAATGTTATTTTATTCACAGTTCACAAAGTTATACAGAATTTTATTCCTACAGATCTGGCTTTATGAATATCAAGTGGGGAGAATTCTTCAAAGAAAAGGTCAGAATTGGTGCAAATGGAACGGTGCTGGTCTTTTAATCTTTAACATTGAAAATGGTTTGCCTGTCTTTGTCCTGTCTTCTTTGGTATGATTTCCTCTCTCCCTCCCTTCTCATCAGCTTATTCACAATTTAATAATACACTTGCACCAAAGGTTATGTTGGTTAACCAGAGTTCTCATCTCAATTATGATCTGAAGTACCTTTGCAAACCTTGATGAACAGGGAACCCAGTTAGTATTAAAACATTGCATTGGTGATATAGAACTAAATAATGGTTAATGCCCACAAATAAAAAGAACGTTCTTGATAGGGTAAAAACAGAGAGAGCATCCTATTTTAAATTACTTAGCCATGATTAAGTGACATGTAGAGTTAAATCTGCATTTGGCCTCAGAAAGGGTTCAGCTAATGTGTGCCTACAGGACATTCCATGAATGGAAGAACTCCTTCCATTTATGACTTCCTTCTCCAGTTATCTGACAGTTGTCCTGTCATCCATGATTTCTCAAAGATAATAAACAGTGGTTCTGAGTGTTCTTTGGCCAGCTTCTTTATGACTCTAGGATAGATTTCATCAGGTATTGCTATCCTAAGTCATGCAAGGCTTTATATGTTAAAAGTAGCACCATGAATTAGGAATGGAAACATAGGCAACCAATGAAAGTGGTCTAGAACTGATCTTATGTGTTTGGTCTCGGCTGACAAAGCTGGATCAAGAAGCCCTGCAGGGCAGCAGAGGGAAGACTGAAACAGTGAGATATTATTTCTTTGCTGTCTTCACTGTAGGGAGGGATCTTTCTATTCCCCTCTCTAGATTTTTGGACTGCCTGTAGTTTGTTTAAAAATTCTAAGGACTCATGTATCACCAAGATCTTGGTTGAACATCAGGTTTAAATGCCTAACATTCATTCATTCATTCATTCATTCATTCATTCATTCTTAAAAGCTTTTGTATGCTGTCCTATTATACCAAATTCTCAGGACAGCTTACAATATTTAAAAAATTTAAATGTTATTATCTCTTAATAACATTAAGAGAAGTTTGACAATGGAAATAGTTAGCAGGGGACTAGGCGCTCTCCCTTGCTGGAGTTTTTTAAGGAGAAGTCAGCCATTTGTTAGCAATTCTTTAGTTCCAGATTTATTTATTTATTTGCACCAAGCAGAAGGTTAGACTAGATTGCTTTTAAAATCTCCTTCAGCTCTATGATGTTATGTTTTTACAAATCTTGATTCTAGAAGCAGTACTGAACAACTTTTACACCATATTACTGTCAAAGATACTTCTGTACTTTTTCTTTCACACTTTGGTATCATTAATTTCCAGGGTGCTTAAAAAATGGTAGAATGATTTCATATAGTGTCTTAAAATGGTTTTGGAAATCACCTGGAAGGTAAGAATTTGAAGTTATGGAGGTAAACTAGGTCATTTACCTAGTTCTTATTTATTCCATACTTACCAATTAATTAACAAAGAGAATTGCCCTAACAGTTATATCTTTATTTCAAACGCATTATTTGGGATTACAAACTGCTGAGCAAACAAGGTATTTCCTATAGCACAAGTGTACTTTGCTCCTTCTGGATGGCTTTCTGTTTTTTCCACTTGTATTTCCCAATAAAGGAAAGAAGAAGAAAAGAAAATGCATCTGGAACACAAAGAGGAGAAAAGAGGGCAGTAATTTTCATAAAACTTGTGTATGATATACTTTACATGAAGATTTAAATATAATTATTATAATTGAAATGGAAATGCAGTATATCTCACAGTGTGGAAGACTGATGAAATGACCAGAGAACCTGCCTGTTGAAATATTTACTGCTGATTGGCAGCAATTCATACTGTGGAACTTTATTTTTAAAGTGAAACTGGATAGACTGGCCCTTCAAACAGAAAATAGTTTAAATAGAGGACAGTCCTTTTGTTGACATTCCAATAAAGTGATAGGGGGATGACACACACAGGATCACCCTAGATTTATGTTCCCTAATTTTGTACAGTTCATAACATAATTGTTGTTGTGTTGTTGTTGTTAGTCGTGAAGTCATGTCCGACCCATTGCGACCCCATGGACAACATTCCTCCAGGCCTTCCTGTCTTGCACCATCTCCCGGAGTCCACTTAAACTCATGCCAACTGCTTCAGTGACTCCATCTAGCCACCTCATTCTCTGCCATCCCTTTCTTCTTTTGCCATCTATTGTTCCCAGCATTAGGCTCTTCTCCAGGGAGTCCTTCCTTCTCATTAGGTGGCCAAAGTATTTGAATTTCATCTTCAGGATCTCACCTTCTAAAGAGCAGTCAGGGTTGATTTCTTTTAGGACTGACCAGTTTGATCGAGTCCAAGGGACTCGCAGGAGTCTCCTCCAGCATCACAGTTCAAAGACCTCAATCCTTTGGTGCTCAGCCTTCCTTATGGTCCAGCTTTCACAACCATACATTGCAACTGGGAAAACCATAGCCTTGACTACGCACTTTTGTTGGCAGGGTGATGTCTCTGCTTTTTAGTATGCTGTCTAGATTTGCCATAGTTTCCTCCCCAGGAGCAAGCGTCTTTTA